CCAATATTTTTTTTCAATTTGCCAATCAACCAAGAGACTATACTCAAATTAGTGTTCATAGTCACACTGGCAGTCCTGTTTAGCTTAGATCTTGTGTCACTCTTGCATTTGATTCCTCTATGGCCTCATTGTATTCCCATTCCACACAAGTTAAGCCTTCTTACCTAAAGACATAACAGAAACAGATCACATGAGTCTACCATATTTTACCATCAGTGAAAACACTTCCATCCTTTGATTTTTAACAGGAGGAAAATTAGCTCATTTATTGAGGAACTGTACTATATATATATACAGTACAGTGGCTGAGAAATTTTACATCACTCTGTGCTTCACATAAATACACTTAATCATCTCATTATCATTAAATGGAAAGATGAAAGAACGTGCACTCAGCTAAGTGTGGAATCAGCTCTCTACTATAAATTCAGATCTTCATCCTCCAAGATGTATTTCAAGTCTGCTGGCATTAGGTTCTCTAGTCCTTACTAACATAGTGCATAATTTTGTTTTTGTTTTTTTGTTTTGGTAATTCATGAATACCTTCTCTCCCTGTGTCCTTACAAAGCTCTGAAGGCAGACACCACATATTTGATATTCCTAATATACCAGACAGATCTTGATTAGGTTTTGTAGTCACCCTATAGACTTTGGCTAGTGAACATGTACTGGCTCCTCATGGAATAGAAAAGCTTTGTTTTGTAGTAACTACCGAAATCATACTCCAGCACAACAAAAATAATTCACTTGATTAACTACACATCTTGACAACTTTATATTTGGATAGATTCATGGAGACATTAAGCTATACACTCAGGCTTGACCATATTAACTATTTGGTATATCTGTAACATTTTTAGAACAAGGTAATCTTTCAACTGTCCAGAATTCAACTGTCCAGGTCAAATTTGATGGTGTCAGGCACATTACAGTTACTGCACAACCCAAAGCCTGTACAAAAATCCAGCTTTTCTGTGTATACAATGACCTCTCACTCCCTTTGAAGAGACAGACATGGATCCCATGTCTGTCTATGCCATAAGATTTTTCCTACTTTGCAGAGTATGAATCAAGCTTTTTTATTTACCTGCTGCTACAAGGAGGCTTCATGTATTCAACATGGTTCTCATATGGGGCTATTGCAGTCTAATAAACCTGTATCTCACATTCTTGTGAGAAATAAATAGTGGCTATTAACACAAGTCATGGCAGAATTATAATATAGCAGATAAGGATTAGTGTATGGTGACTAGAACAGAATGAGGAAATAGAGAAAAGACTTCATACACAACCAGCCTGGCCTGTAGCAACTCTTCTATAAATAATCTTTGCAGATTTAACGACCACATCAAAATTTACTGTTTCTTTATATGTTGGCTAGCTATAACAATAGCTTTGTATGTATGTATGTAAGTATATATATACATATCTGTAACACTGCAGTTTACTCTCTGTGACACCTCGGCTCTAGTAATGAGCAAGCCTAAATTAATTTAAAGTTAGATATATTAAATTTTCTTTATCCTTAGAATTATCGAAAATAATTAAAGCAGTGACACTCAATAAAACAATTACAAATGCACATTTATACGCTATAAACTGTCTTAGGACCCATGAGATTACTAATACTGAAGCAGCTTGAGATGTCTAGGTAACCACTTTAGAGTCCCTGTGTCTTGGTCAACCCCAGCCTTCATTTAGGATCCTGCATTGATAGAAGAAACCTGAATTAGGATAAGTAACTTCTCCAGCTTCTTCCTTTGACTGGAATATTTGGTGCTACACATTTTAACTGATATACAGCTCCATATTTTTAAAGCATTTTAAGTTGCTCCCTTAAGTTGATAAAGTGTCAACTTTTTCATACAAATAAAATGACTGAAGGATAATTTGCCTTTATAAGGCCAAGGTTTTACAATTAACATTTTCACTACTTTTTAGTAGTTTTAAGTATATATGTGAATTAAACATATTAGTAATAATAATAGTTTACTTCTTGTATTTTCTTCACATAGTTTTGTGCACCCTTTCTCATCTCTGTTGTAATAATACTCTAGAAAATCAACTTCAAAAATTTTCAAAAGTACTGAAAAGAATAATGTAGTTATGAAAATATTACTGTCCTCAGATAAATACATCACTGTCAAAAAAAAAAGTGAAACAAACTTATTTATGACCATAACTTGTTTTCAACATTATACTTGGTATGTTTAGCTGCCAGCCCATTTTCATTGATACATTTTTATAGCTTACCTTAAATTCTCAGGAAGATGTATATTAAATACTAGCTTTAAAATTACTATTAGTTCACTCACTGGCACTTGTTATTCAGTCACATGGATCACTTGCCAAACATGTGATGTCTTAGGTTCAATCCCCACCCAGTACCACAAATCGTCTAATTAAATAGAAGTGGTTTTGTAGCTAGAGAGATGGTTCAACAGTTAAGGGCACATATTACTCTAACAGAGGACGCAAATTTAAGTTCTACATGCAAGTCAGGCAGCTCACAAAGGCCTATTCCAGAGGATCTGATAAGGAAATGAAAGAACTGCCCTGACACACGCAGACTCAACCCAAAACACATATACACATATAAACAAAATACAATTACAGGTAATAAAAATACCATTTTGTTTCTTAAAATTAGTAGCACTAAAAAAAAAACAAAAACAAAAAAAAAAAAAAACCATGAAATACCCAAGTACCTCAGTCCATAAATAAGCCAATTTTTTTTTCAAAATTTAACATTTCAGGTAAGTCATTTAGATCTTTTTTTATTATTGTTTATTACAATTTATTCAATTTGTACCCCAGCTGTGGCCCCCTCCCTCATCTCCTCCCAATTCTACCCTCCCTCCCTAGTCTCCCCCTATGCCCCTCCCCTACTCCACTGATACAGGAGTCCTCCTCCCCTTCTGTTTGAACCTAGCCTATCAGGTCTCATCTGGCTGTGTTGTCTTCCTCTGTGGACTGGCAAGGTTAAACCCCAAAGGGTGAAGTGATCAGAGAGCCTGCCACTGAGTTCATGCCAGAGAAAGCACCTGCTCCCCTACTAGGGACCCCACTTGGAGACTGAGTCTATGGACTACATCTGAGCCAGGGTTTTAGGTCCTCTCCATGCACTGTCCCTGGTTAGGGCATCATTCTTTTCAAGGGCCACAGGGCTCAGTTTTCTAGTTTATTTGTTTGTTTGTTTGTTTGTTTGACCCTGCTGGTCTCCTTTTGAAGGTTCTGTCCCCTCCAGGTCTTTCTATCGCCGCCTTTTTTCATAAAATTCCATGCATCCTGCCCAAAGTTTGGCTATGAGTCTCAGCCTCTGCTTTGATACTGTCTGTGGTAGGCTCCTGTCCTGTATATTTTAAATTTGTTTATATTTACTAATTACATCTGCTTTTGCTTGATAAATTTTTATGACTAGCAAGCTAACTTAAGAGTTTGTTCTTTTATCTAATATCTAACTATATAAATTGAAACAATGTATTTAGTAGAAAAGGATTGTGCCTAGAGAAAGAACAAACAAATAAACAAAAAACCCACTCAGACTTCCAGTGTTGTTAAAACATGGTATAACAGATTTGGTTTTCTAAATAGCTATAAACTGAACAGAAGAAATCAGAAATAGGTTACAAGAGTCTGAATGTGCTGCCACCAAACTCTATAAATATTCTCTTTACCATTAGGAAGATTTAAAGATATACAATTGGCAAAGGCTAAAGAGGGATGAAGTCCATCTAAATAACCAGTTCTAATCAAATAAGTTAGTTTTTAATCAAGCTTCTGAACAGAGTGTAATGCCTATGAGTAGGCATTACACATAAAACAAAATAACTTTTCCTCTGGACTCAAGTCTGCATAAGTCTAAGGTGCTCGATTATCCTGGGCATTTTATTATTTCCACTTTTATTGAGCATCTGCCACATATTCAGCATTGCTTTATCTCCAGTGTTAAAGTATGCCAATCTTTAAGATTTTAAAGAGGTGATCATACATGAAACAATAGTGGAGAACCAATAAAAATTTAATCATTCTTACTAAGTACAAAAACAGCTTCTGATATGTGATATTAGGGTAAGGCCCTGAAACATGAAAAGGTCTTGTTCAGCAGAGTGAATGATAACATTTGGGAACAAATGGGACTATGCCCATGAGCATATAAAATAGGACAACAGTCTTCCAAGAACCAGAGGTCATGTATTAAAGGGTAACCACATGAAAGACACCTGACCAACCTAAGTCCAAAACAGACATCAACTCCATTAATGTAAAAAGTGGGGGAGAGGGCAGGAGAAAGGGAGGGAGGGAGGGAGGGAGGGAGGGGGGGAGGGAGGGAGGGAGGGAGGGAGGCTGTAACAGGATACTGAGTATCCTGTAGGTGCTGCCTGTGTTCCTGTGTGAAGCTGGCCACAAGAGAAGATAGAATGGATAGCTCAACACTCCTCTACCAAAACAAGACCTTTTTTTTTTTTTTTTGTCTATTCCTAATGATAATCTGTCTACTAGAAAACTAACAGAGCAAGGGAAGAGGAAAACTTATGTTTTTATTCCACACCAGTTATAGTATGACAGACAGAAATTCAGTTTATCACTGTAAATTACAACCTTGTTTATCTATAAAATTAAAATGATTATTTATTGCATGTGAATGAGCTTAGAACACAATAGGAACAACAAATGTTCATTCTCTTAAAAGTAGCTCTAATGCTAAAGGGTTGAACCTTACCAGTTAAGTTAAATGGCTTTCTTATATAAACTAATGGAATGCAGTGATTGATGTATTGAGGTATGAATGAACACCTCCTGGCATAGGTACACATAGCACAGTTCATCACACTCAGCTCACTAAAGCATCATATAGATAGAAGTAGTACTGTCAGGATGATAAATATTTTGCTTACTTGCTTTAGAGTACAAACAGTATTCCAAAATTATCTACTACAAGGTTGACAATTTGAAATTTAATCTTAAAATGCCTTACACTTTTTTTTTTTTTTTTACAGCATGCTACAAATGAAAACTGATGAGAAAGTGGATTTGTCTGATGGGAACACAGCAAGCTGCCCACTGAGCCCCATTAAGATGTGCCTTAATCATCCTATTGAATGGAATCTAACAGCAGCATCTCTAACAAGCTGTACAGTTCATAACCAAAATCTCAAAAATGAAGAAAAATAGTCTGCAATCCTTGCACTACCTTTATTTTGTATGTCAATATTCTTTCTCATGAAACCAATTGATACTAAAAGATTTCTAGTCCTGTGATTTGTCTTTTTATTAAGTCACTAGCATTAATCATTTTTATTATAATTCTGTTTTTTACTTAAATTACACAAGACCATTGTGGAGTTTTGCAACAAAAGCAGATTTTGATGTTCTCTTTTTATTGGTCAATTTTTTAGCCCTCAGTTTAAATATGTAATTGCCCAGTTCTATTTCTGTGCAGTTTTCACATATAACAAATTATGTAATTTAGAAAGCTAGTATTGTAAAGGTGTGAGATATCGACCTAACCCAAACAGTTGTGTAACAGGTGGATACTAACTACCTCGAAGCAAACTGGGAAAGGCAAGGTATCACTTGGAAGTATATCTCTTCTAAAGTTATATATGTATAGAAAAAAGGCTGATTAGCTTATCAAATAGCATGTTTTCATTCATTAAAATAATTGGGTTATCAGTTCTCTTTCTGTAACTTAAACTTCATCTGTGGGCCATAAGAGCAATGGCACAACTGCATGTTTACTCCTCAGCGAATTTGTGCCTCAATGGTAAATAACAACACTGGTTTAAGTTAACAGTTTTGAATGAAAAAAAAAAAATGGTAACTGTTTTTATACCTGTTGGTTTTATTGTATCTTAGGAGTTTGCTCCAAAGCTTACAGGGGTATCCTAAAGAAGCAGGATGATATTCCTTACTAAGGCCAGCCACAGCCATTGTCTAAAATCTAAGTAGTAAGACTACTACTAATGGTTTTATACTTAAAAGTTGGTTTTCCTATGACAGAGAAAAGCAAGCTGTGGTACAGTGGCTACATGAGCATAGCTTCTTTCCTTCTGGATACTCTGCATATGTATAAATGATCACTGTTCATTCCTAAAGGCTTTCCCTTATATCATGTATGTACCATTTTAGCCCTACTTACTTCCTATTCCTGACAAACTTACTTAAAGACAGGAATTTAACAAGAACTATAACAATAAGGAATATGAAGCACAGGAAAAGACACAGAGCCAAGAGATGAAGAACAGTGTTTTTCATTGGTTTATATCATTACCATATCTGCCTTTTCCCTTTCTTTGTAACTCTTGCTTTGTAACTTTGACTCCTTTTCTGAGTTCTATAAAGCACATATGTATATAGAATAGCCTTTTGGTTCTAAAAACCAGCAATATCAATTCACTCCATCTCAGAACATCAGTTGAAATAAACGGCCTCTGGTAAATAAATTTAAAGAAGCACAATTAATAAAAGTGCATTTTTATCCAAAATAAAGCAAAAAGATCATTATCAGGAATAATAAAAGGTGTTTCTTTGGGAATAACAGAAAGAAAATGGACTACTTTTATACAATACAAGTTTGCAAATATTTTTGCTTCATAACAGTGACAGTTTCAAAAGATAACTGAAATTAACAGCAAAGAAATTATGCTCATAAATCAGTACATAAAGATGACTTGTTATAATTTTATTTCCCATTGTTATCATTTATTATTCAAAGTAGAACATATTTTAATGTGCCAAAAACCAATGTACCTTCATGATTAATATGTGTGTACATCTCCCTAATCCAGAAACATTCATAAACAAGTGTTCCTATATGGAAAGACTCAGAAAGAGAAATTACCCATTGAGGTAAAGTTATCCAAATAAATAGTATAGGAATAATGCAATTTTCAAAGCCATTGTTAACTGTAAATAAGGAATGCTTTTGTTCATTATACCAGTCCTCAATGGTAATAAGCACCTTTCTGTATTACTTAAATGTACTTCACCCTTCATTTGTTTGGTGTCTGACATATTCACCTATGTTAGATCTACACTATATAAGCTTCTCAAATACAAACTACTGGGCTAATTATAAATTTTTCCAAAATGTCATTGTTTCATAGGGTTCATCTAGGCAACCTATTTAAAAGCAGGTTCCTAGACCCACCTACCATTCTAATATAAACAAATCTCATCCATGTACCAAAGTCATATGGCATCATTCTATGATTCCAGAAACACAGGAGGCTTTTATGATTTTACTATAATAACTATTAAAACAAAGAAATAAGCACAACTTTAAAGGATTCCATCCTTATCAGCTCTAACTTGGATCTTCATTAAGAAACTGTGCAAGGTTAAGTTTACTTTTCTCTAGCGCCGCTGTTTTGGCTCGTCTGGGTAATCTCATCTTCATTTCCGATGGTGGTTCTGGAGCATCATGATCACTAAACAGATGTTGAAAACATTCACTTAGATATAAGCTTTAAAAAATCAGAATCTGTATAAATAAAATTTTTGGTTTCTGACATTCTAGTAGTGTGTAATTGATAGCCTGAGTCTTTAAACCAAGCTTAAAACTAAAAATCTAAAGCAAAAAACAAAAAACACTAGCTGGCTGGCTGTCCTTCTAAGTAAATCACAGAAAACCTAGCTAATGGGTAATTTTTAATCTACAGGTAAAACCAGTATTATATAGGGAGAGAAGCAAAGCACCAAGCTTTCATAGTGAAACTTACAGTTAAAGAAACACACAGTTACAGGGACCACAACAATTGTCCTAAAGAGGGATTTTGGAATTCAAGTGAAAAAAACAGTACTATGGCCTCTTAATTTAGTAAATTACTAAAACATTATATTAAGTCCCCCAAAGCACTTTAACCAAGGGTTAATCTAAGAAAATATATATGGTCCAATATAAGTGAATAAACAAATTCAAAACAGCTACAAACTTCTGAGGCTCAACCATGGCTTGACAGTGACTGAAAATAAATACTAGTAACACAAACCACTAGTACATTAAAGTTATAAGCAGAATTATAACTGAGAGAATCCAAATGTTATCTAAATCAAGCTAAGAGTCACATATACAAGCTCATGTAAAGAGAATACATGGAAATTGAGAATACATTAAACTACTTCTAAGGCAGTGCCAACTTATTTTTATTAGTGTATTTTATTAAAAATACACAGCACTTCATTAAGTCAAATGTTCTAGTTAGATAATATTAAACAATTTACCAAGGTCACAGATGGCTTTTATCTTATAATATCCCAAGTTTTTCTCATAAAAAATTACAATTTTTTACTATTGAGCAAAGTGAATGTGAATGGCATCTTCTGCATCTTATAGAAATACATGACATACCTTTCAGAGTCAGTCTCAGCATTTTGGAATCTCCTGTTGATCTTAGATGAAACTGGTGCTTTTCTACGTCCTTAAAGACAGTATAATTTATTGGCAGAATTGTTAATGGTTTCATGTTTCTAATCCTTTACTTTCAGCACAACAGTCTTTATCATATTTCCTTATTTCTAGCCACCCTGATGCTGTCAATATACCATGGGGTGGGAGGATGACTAAAATTTACATAATTTTCTTTGTATGAACACTACAAGTATGTGGCAAACTTGCTCACCACATGTGGGGACAAAAACATCTCAGGCTGGGTATGATGGCTCAGGTGGTAAAGTACTGGCTTTGTTAAAGATGAGGACTGGAGTTTAAAAGCCAGAACCCAAATATCAGCCAAGTGTAGTGGCATATGCTTATAATCCCAGCATCGGGAAGGGAGACCAGCAGGTCCGTAAGGCTCTGCCCAGATCCCGTGCTGGCCATCTAGCCTAGCCTACTTGGAGAGCTCCAGAACAGTAAGGAACTCTTGTCTCAAATACAAGTAGACTGTGACTAAGAAGCAGCACCCCAGCTTGTTCCCTAGCCTCCACGTGCACACATGTGCACACATGAATGATCACACACATATAACAATCTTCTCTTACAGCGAGGGTACAGTATATATATAAAAACTAAAAAAAAAAAAAAAAAAGATTACAAAGGCAAGTTAGGTCAATGAACAGTTCCTACGTGGAACTGTATTTTTATTATATATACATTTATCTTTCAAGCACTACATTGCCTAGCTGGACTGGTCTCAAACTGATGGGCTCAAGTTATCCCCACAGACTCTAGAACAGCTGTTATTACAGCCTGACATTGTGCCTGGCTTCAAATTAAACTTAAACAGGAAAATAGTTTGCTTGTAAAATACTTAAACTTACACATAGCAAATTCAAATTTGTTCTTAAATTCAATGTTTATCTACTAGGGTTTATTTATTATATTATATAAGTATATATATTTTACATGACTGGAAAGTAAGGACTAGGGACTGTGCTCAGTGAGTAGTGCTTGTCTAGCAATATAAATCCTGGTGTGATCGATCATATAAAATAGACGTGGTGATACAACACCTATATTCCTAGCCTGTAATCAGAAATTCAAGGTCAAAATAGTGAGTTTGAAGGTAGCCGAGGATATATGAGAACGTATTCTAAAAGATGAGATATAATAAATTTGGCCTGCAATAATCCTCATTTATAAGATATAAAATGTAGCATGTATACATCAAGTTTGGACTATTAAAAAAATGGAGTTCTCATACTTTATTTTGTAACTAAAAGTAATCTGATCAAAATCAAATGTTCATTTAGCAATTTATTTGAAAATTGTATACTCTATTCGTTGTATATTTTTCTCCCTCATGTTTTACTTATTTGCTTTCAATAATGTCTTGATCCCCAAGAAAACATCCAAGAATATGGAACTAATTTGGAACAATATCCAGTAGTTGGTGTTTAAATATCTGGTTTGTTATGAAACACTATTATAGCCAGATTCTATTCTAGAAAAGACTAACTATACTTAGAACAGAGCCATAAAACTATTTTCAATAATTAAAATCATGTTTGGCTCATGGGTGGGACTATTGGTGTTCTTGACGGTAGGTCTGCCTGGTTGTACTTTCTTATTCTTCTGTAATAAGCATGCATTGCTTTTGTAATAAGGAATTAATAAAACAGTTAAAAAGCCCTTGAATTTCAGATGTTTTTCAAAATGGTCCCCTACTAGGGAACATGTATTTATTCTAACAAATACTCTACTGTTGGGTATCCCTTGGGAAACTGAGTTGGAAAAAAAAAAAAAAAGGAATTAGATGGGAGGGGGAGTAAAAGAAAAGCTAAGACTTCTAGGAGGGAAAAAAAAAAATGTTCATTGACACAAAAAATAGTAACACTTCCCCCACCTCCACCACTAATACGGGAGTCTTTACATACCCATGGCTGCCTAAGAACTCAACTCTGTAGACCAAGCTGGCCACAAACTCACAAAGATTTATCTGCTTCTGCCTCCCAAGTGCTGGGATTAGAGGTGTGTTTCCCATATCTCGCAATTTAACCTATTCTTAATTTACCCCCAAAGAGCCCTGTATTCACACACACACTTTTTTGTTATTGTTTTGTTTGTTTTTCAAAGCAGGGTTTTCCTGTGTAGCCTTGGCTGTCCTGGTCTTGCTTTGTAGACCAGGCTGGCCTCGAATACACAGAGATCCTCCAGTCCCTGTCTCCCAAAGTTCTGGAATTACAGGAGTGCATGACTGCCCTCAAATCTTTTGTGTATTTTTAATTCAAAAGCATATGGAGCAACAATGATCTTACAATCTTCAGAAGAAGCAAGAATTCCCATCAACTAAATAAAGAAAATTAAGAAAATAAAGAAAATACCTAAGACAGTCAAAAATTTTTATTCCTAAGAAACTAATGATAAGGAAGCTTGCAAAGCTAGTATTTTAACTTGAAAAGAGTTGTACTTTAAAATGCAGTCAATCTACACATTACCTCTGTTAGTCTTTCTTTGTGTAGATTTTGATGCTTGACTTCCTTTTACATCCCTCAGAGGAGTCACATATGCCTCTTTACATGCAGCCATATAAAAATACAAACAAAAGAAAATCTTTTTTAAAAGTGATCTTTTTATCTTTCAGAAAACAGTCCTATTACATATTATAACGTATATTAGGCTATAATAAATCACCATTCCAAAAGTGTGACTACTACAAAATGAAGGTCCTGGCAAGATGGTTAGTATAAGAAATGTACCCAAATAAATTGAAAGGTACAATAAACACATGAATAGCTTTTCCCAAGATTAGTAAGAAACATATTTTTGTTCATTTCTGCAATTTACTCAAAAAAAAATCTCAAAAAAATGAAAAATATAATTTTATAGATATTCAAGTCAGTATGTAATTACCATTTTCATTCTGAAGAACATCTGTAGTTGTGTTGACATCCTGTGCTACCACAGCTTGGTCTAATTCTTTATTTCCTTTTCCTAACTGAATCTTGATCTTCTCCAAAGCTCTGAGACATGTCCTGTCTGTTACTTGCTGTGGGGTAAGGGGTACGGGAGGTAGGATAGGGGTGGAGGATGTAAAATAAGTTATCCGATCTTTCACAAGTTATATGCCAATATCAAGGAGTTTGAAAACACCCTTAAATTATATAAAATCCATGATGGAAACAGTTATTTCAGATGGACATGCAGAATACACAATAACAGATCTTACTTAATACATCTATGTAAATTCCACCTTGATAAATATGAACACAAAGTACTTAAGAGTATTAAAAACTGCTTTACCTCCAGAATCTCATCTAGTAGAAGGAGGAGATCTTTTGTAACATTGCTACTGAGTTCTACAGAACTCAAAGCTTTTGTATAAACCCGATTTTCTGGTGAGCATGGACTTGTTAAGATCTCATTACAAATTTTGATAGCCAAGTTGTCATGCACAGTCAAGGCCTAAAAAAATTAAAAAGAAAAAGCTCTATAAAATGAAAATGTTTTCATTACACAGTTTTATATATCAAACAATAAGTATTTCTAGCTATCCTGCAAAAGTCTCATCTACATAATATCTAAATCTAAATTTACATTTCCCTGCCTCCAAAAGAAGCTCCTTCCTTCATTACAAGGAGCAGATCCACCCCCTTTAGGATTAAAGTATCACCCAGTTGTTGAAATGATCCAGGCTGATGAAAGTGGTCCTTTTCCAAACTCACACTACTCCCCCTAAAGGTGAGTCCACATCAAGTGATTAGCCAACCCATGCACAGATACCACAATGCAGCTTACAATTAAAACAACAAATATATCAGTTCTGGAACTCCTTGTACAATCAACTGAAACTCCTATTTACATGCCAGTTCAATATTGCCCAAACCCTAGCCAACTTTTCTCATTCTCACAAGATTTCTATGAAGTTTATTATTACTCACTTAATACTGTAGACATTTCTTGAATTTTACCATCTTTTCTGCTCTTCCAGCTTTCTCCAAATCTTCTCACCACTTAACTTTATCTGGCCTTCAGTAACCAATAAATGAGTCTTCTTGGTAAGGTCTCATCCTTTAACCCTTTAATACTAAGTCCTACATACACACTGCAAATAGGGCCAACTCCACCAGCCTTTACATAATCATCTATACTTATTATCTTTATACAAACATCTTTCCTTTCTACTCAAACCCCTTCTTAAACCCCAGCCAGGGCCAAATAAACTTTTAAAACTCAACTGAGAATACAACCAGGACTAATGGCACACACCTATAATCCTAGCTATTTGGGATTCTGAGGCAGCAGAACTGTAAATTCAAGGTGTGCCTGAGCACCCTGTCTCAAAATAATAAGTAAAAAGAGGGCTGGGGATATAGTTCAGCAGTAAAACAGTTGTCTAGATCCTGTAAGACTGAAGGCTAAATTCCCAGTAATGCGAATAAAACTAATGATAAATTCATTGTTCCTATAATGAATTTTATACCTTTCTGAAGTTCAAAAGCATTTGATGGCTAATCACTGTTCCTTAACACATTTTGCTGAAATCCTTTGTAATATAACCTTCCCAATAACAAAAAATGTTGCAAGTCAAGCAAAGTATTCACTAAATAGCAAATAAACATACAAACAGAACAAAACTGTCAACTTGCAATTAGAATCTGCAATCATTAGCACATCCAATTTCTAAGTGTTCAACCAAATGTCACTAAAGAATTTTATAATCCAGTTTAATTATAATGTATAGATGAGTTTGCAGTTAACATGTGTTTCACTTAAGAGCAAAAGTAAGCTTGAGATAAACTCCTGCCTTTAAATTGTTCTTCTCTATATTTACAACATAACAAGCAAAGCCAACAGTTGCAGATGTAGTGAGTCAGAGATAACAAGGTCATTTCTTCAGTGATTACCTAATTTCTAGGTTGCAAAACATTTTCAGTGATTACTTCTATTTTTATGATTTCTCTATAATTCCCCAGATATCACACACCCTAGAACTTTTTTAGTTGTTGTTTTTTCAAGACAGGGTTTCTCTGTGTAGCTTTCGCTGTCCTGGACTCACTTTGTAGACTAGGCTGGCCTCAAACACAGAGATCCGCCTAAATCTGCCTCCCTGTGTGATGAGCTTACAGGCATGTGCCACCATGCTCGGCTGGAACTGTTTTATATGCCAGAAAAATAAAAAGTCCAAAATATAAATGTACTTCATCATGATTTCAAAGAACCCATGATCCTTTAATCAAAAAAATGATCTTCATCCAGTTATATTTGCTACACACCAGTTATCATACATACCTGATAATCTTGGGAAATCTTTGCCTGAGGATTTAATCCACTGGGTCTTGTCAGATCAACAAGCAACTCAGCAACATTTGTGATATCTACTTCAGCTAAAGGAGATGACGCTGGGGCATTGGCCAGTGTTTGCAGAGTTGGAATGAAGGCTTCTTCAAAGCACTCCTGATTAGTCCTATTTAAAACCAATTTTAACTTTCAGTACAAGCCCATGGACATCTGCCCTTTAGACTTCAGATCCCACTAACCTCTTTGGCTATCCCAACTTCAAGCTGCTGAATAACATGATTTTGACCAAAAGAAGAAACCAAAAACTCCATTAAGCATGTTGCAAAACATTATTTGAGAGAAAAGTTTCATTTTTAAATACACACAAACTGTATTTATTGAAGATAAAGTATATGTTTTTATATACTTTGTACATGCAGGAAAGAGATAAAAAAAAATTCTGGATATATCAAACACCCACTGAAAGGTCTACCAAAACCAAAATGACATAGATATATAATTAACATGGGGGGAGTTGACTGTGACCTCAAATAAGATTTCATCAGTGACTCAATACCTGCTTGCATAAGCAAACGTGGGGAAAAACACGCCTAGGCAATGTCGCAGTCGAACATCCTCTTCACTCACAGGATTATACCACAACAAAATAAGACGAGAAAGAATCCTGCTGCTGACCAAAAGCCCAGAGAACATCAGCTTTGCTAATCCTTCTGCAGCTGCTATCCTGAGTTCAGATACCTAGTAAAAATGACATTCATCACAAAGGTTTTATCTCATTTCATTTTAAGCTTATGTGTGATATTTTAACATAACTACACAAAAATCATTATTTTTATTATAAATTTAATGAAAGAAGAATCACTGCAGTTCTTAAGCTAGCCTTGGCTAGCTGGACTACAGAATGAGACTGTCTCAAAAATCAGAATTAAAATAATACTCATGGCTCAGCAATTAAGAAGACTGTCTAGGATGGATCCAAGATGGCGGCGATCAACGCGCACCGTTTCCAGAGGCAGAGGATTTGAAATGCTGAAATTGGTGAGTGGAGGGGCAACTGAAATTGGAAAATGGACATTGTGGCTGAAGGAGGGGGGACACCACAGGAGCAGAGTGTGAACGGAGAGGGGCACTTTCCTTCTTCTGGCCTCCCTCCCCTCGCAGGAGCCAAGCCATAGCACCAGTGGCACAGATCTTGCTACCTGAGAACCCATACAGCAGAGGCAGGGATACTAGCACCGCAGCCTCAGCAGCCAGCATCACCCGCGTCCCGAGCACAAGATCCACAGAATAATCCTGCCTGAGTCCCTCACCTGCAAGCAGCCGGCCTTACCAACTCCACAGAGCCTGACTGTACAAGCCTCTCAAGCCTCAGTGGCTGTGCAGCCACCAAAGTCCAGGAGGACCTGCAAAACTGACCAGGTGCACCAAGCGCCGATCCACAGTAGTGGCTACACAAGACTTCCCGGCAGACACCTAGACACCCCAGTTCTGCAGCCACAACTGAATTACCCGGTACAGCGGCTGCAACACCACTGAGCTGTCTGAGCACACATTTGGCTCAGCAGGTCCAAAACTGCCAGTAGTTTTGGAACCCCTGTGCATTACAATTTGACCGGCTACAGTGAGTGCACCCCAAGTGCCCGCAGAGCCTCAGATCCAGGGTGCTTCTAAGCTAGCAGCCAGACATTAGAAATCTCCCACCCACATATCCACTGTGAGAAACAGGGTTTCTTGGGACAAGGAAGCCCTGGCTCTGTGGAGCTACCAGCGGAGTTTAGGCAAATAACTCCTGGATCTCAGTGAGAGACTATTACCAGTGCCCATGGCCACTGACGTACTCAGGGAAGTTGCAGACACGATCTTCACCAGTGCTTACGATAACGCCCGCGACCTCTTCCTGACCACAAGGCAGGTGCCCCTCCCTCACACTGAAGGCCTCTACAGTCTCAAGGCAATCTTCCACAGACACGCACACGCTCATCTGTATTTGTCCTTCTGTGCCCACGTACTTTCCTCCCACAGGGACAGCTGAAGCAACACACACGTTGAAACCATTGGACCTCTCTCATCTCCCTGAAGAATTCTCCAGACGCCAGAGAAAGACGGTACTAATCTGAACTGCAGAACCCAATAACAAAGTGTGAAGGTTACGTACGGTTAAGCAAATGGCCAGAGGTAGGCAAAAGAACATACCCAACAAAAATCAGGAAATCATGGCTTCACTGAGAACTCCCAAAATCAATGGATACTTCAATTCATCAGAAAAACAGGAAAATTACCTTAAAGATATGCTTATCCAGTTATTAGTCACATAAAGAGGAAACAAACAAATCTCTCAAAGAAATAGCCAAGCAAATGCAGACAGATAAAGAGGAAACGAGCAAATCTCTCAAAGAATTCACCTCCAAGGTGGAGGCAAAGAAAGAGAACTGAACAAAGTTCTCAAAGAAACACAAGCAAAAATAGCCAAACAAATAGAGGGACAAGTAGAGGTAAAATTAGTAACATATAGAGAAGAAACAAACAAAAAGATAGAGGCCATCATATAGAGACAGGAAACCACATTCAAACAGAAGAAAGAAGTGGTACAAGACATGAAAACAGAATTAGACTCAATAAAGAAAACACAAACAGAGAAAACCCTGGAGCTGGAGAACTTAGAGAAAAGATCAGGAACCACAAAAGTAAGCATCACCAACAGAATACAAAAGATAGAAGAGAGAATCTCTGGTGCTGAAGATACGCTTGCAGAAATTGATATTTCTCTCAAAGGAAAAGTAAAATCGGAAAAGTCCCAAACACAAAACATTTAAGAAATCAAGGACGCCATGAAAAGGTGAAATCTACAAATAATAGAAATTGATGAAAAAGAAGATTCCAGGCTCCAAGGTTCAGAAAATATCTTCAATAAAATCATAGAAAAAAAATTTCTACAACTTTAAGAAAGAGATGTCCATAAACATCCAAGAGGCCTACAGAACACCAAATAGACTAGACCAGAAAAGAAAATCCTCATGTCAAACACTAAGTATACAGAACATCATTGTCGAAACACTAAATATACAGAACAAAGAAAAGATATTAAAAGCAGCAAGGGAAAAAGGCCAAGGAACATGTAAGTTAGACCTATCAGAATCACACTGGACTTCTCATCAGAAACTATGAAAGCCAGAAGCGCCTGGGCAGGGGTCATGCAGACTATAAGGGACCACAGATGCCAACCTAGACTACTATACCCTGCAAAGCTTTCAATCACATAGATGGAGAAAACAAAATATTCCATGATAAAACTAAATTTAAGCAATTTCTACACAGCAAACCAGCCCTACAGAAGATAGTAGAAGGAAATCCAATCCAACGAAAACAACTATACCCAAGAAAACATAGGATAATTTCACTATAAAAATTAAAAGAAAACAAGCAATGAATCACAGTAAGACCACCAACTCCACAATAAAATGAATTAACGTTCATTGGTCACTATTATCTATCAACATCAATGGACTCAACTCACCAATAATAAGACACAGACTAACAGAATGGGTGCAGAAACAGGATCCAACATTCTGCTGCATCCAAGAAATGCACCTTTGCAACAAAAATAAACACTACCTCAGAGTAAAGGGCTGGAAAAATGTTTTTCAAGCAAATGGACCCAGAAAACAAGCTAGGGTAGCTATCCTAATATGTAATAAAATAGACTTTCAACAAAACCTAGTTAAAAAAAGGTGAGGAGAGGCGGGGCAAGATGGCAGCGCCGGGAGGACTCTCATTCTGAGGAGCAGCACAGCAGGATTGGCACAGTGACCAGCAATCAGAACTCGCGGCCATAAAACACAAGTGGTTGTGTTTCTCAGGTGAGAGGATACCCCATGGTCGGGGATTCGATCAGCTTTAACTCACCCGGCTAAACCGCGGAAGAGATCCCCGTTTTGCCAGGCGCTTGGTCGCCAGCCCAGAGCTACCCGCCAGCGCGATCTGGTCACGGTCCCAGACTGAACTGTGGGCCCACAACACCATAGACTGGATTTCCCAGTCGAGAGATAACCCCACAGAGCAGGAAACAATTGGGACAGACCCCAGGTTACCCAGACATCCCCTGGAAAAGACTCGGGTTCCGCGGGTGCCCCAGGAGCCAGCCCGGACCCAGAGCCGGGAGGGACAAAGGCGCCTGCCTGCACAGAGCCCTACCTGCGCGCGTGATTTGCCGCCTCAGATAGAACTGTGGGCACCAGGGCAACAGGGCACCAGACTGCGTGTCTCTGGCAGGAGGAAACCCCCAGCGGAGGGGGTCAGCAGCTCTAACGCTTAGGACACCCAGCACCAAAACACTTCCTGGACTCACGCAGACTCTAGTGCAGGCAGAAGTGCTGTGCTCTGCCGCCATTGTTGCGTTCCCCTGGGGCACTGGGACACACAGCTGCATCCTCGGACCTGCAGGAGCCGAAGAGCCATTACAGCAGCCCTCAGATACTGTGCCAGGGATCGGCCAGTTGTCCCTGGCTGGACTGCCAAAACTGTAGGAATCCCTGATCCTTCAGGGGGGCTGCACCCACAGCGTCTGGACCAGCGTGGTGCCTACAGCCTCCATCCCCGACAGAGACACACAACTTCTGGTCCAGAGTGAGGCACCCAGCCTCCAGACCAGAGCAGCGCCCCCAGGCGCCAACTCAACCTAGGTGCACATTCTCCAGGTCCAGAGCAGAGCAATCAGCCTTTGGCCCAGAGACTTGCTGAGTGCACCTCCCACTTTCTCAGACAGAACTGTGCGCCCCAGGATAACAGACTGAGTTTCCCTGTTGGGAGAAAACCCCATAGCTAGGGAATCAGCAGTTTCTTCAAGAGGACTGTACATGGAAATTTAGTGAGCAGCAGCACACTAAATTTATAACAAGAAACCCAGCAGTGGGGTAGCTGTCTTGAGAAATTTTATGGGTAAGAGGAGATCCCCCCCTGCCTAACATAGACCACAGCTACTACTCAGGGCTATAAACCTGAGGTGAGCAGTGGCAACTCCGGAGAAACACTGGCCATACAGTGACCATAACCAAAAAGCAGAGAAGGACTCCTTCAGGAAAAATCATCTTCCGGCCAAGGGGATACTCCCTACCTCAGGACTCCAGGAAGCACAGAAACTAACAGCCAACACCTAAATCAGCCCAATGGGTAGAGGTCAGCGTAAAGGCTCAACCAACAAAAGACAGAGCAATATGGCATCTCCAGAACCCAGCCATCCAGGGGCGAACAGCCCTGAACAACCCAGCATAATAGAAAATCAAGAAGATGACCTTACATCTATGTTGATGAAGAGAATAATAGAGGAAACAGATAAAATACGTAAAGAATTAGAGGAAGATAAAACCAAACAGATCATGGCTATCCGTAAAGAAATGGAGGAAGATAAAGACAAGCAAATTAGGGCCATCCGTGAAGAAATACGGGAAGATGCAGCCAAACAGCTTGTGGCCTTCAGAGAAGAAATAATTAAATCACTGAAAGAAATCAAAGAGACAGAGTTGAAGGAACTAAAAGAAAAAGAGGAAAATACAAGCAGACAGGTGAAGGAAGTAAACAAAACAACTCAAGACCTGAAGATAGAACTAGAAAAATTAAAGAAAACACAAATGGAGGAAATAATGGAGAGGAAAAATTTAGGGAAGAAAACAGGAACTACAGAGGTAAGCATAACCAACAGAATACAAGAAATGGAAGAAAGAATCTCAGGTGTAGAAGATACA